CTCAATGACGCCATAGAACGCAATGATTGCCAAAATAGGATTCTTATCTTTCGAACTAGAGAAATACATGGATTCAGCCTCAACCATAATCCCAATATTTTACATTGTACTACGATCATCTTTTGCTTTTGTATAAAAGGAATAATTACAAATGTCATACGCCGTCCAAGTTATCACAATAAATTTTGGCATGTACAACAACCATTTAATTGTCTCAAATGCACCACCATCATTAGAAACCCTCTTATTAAACCAACTTATGAATTTCTTGTTATGTCGTGTCAACAACCACTTGTCATGCATTCAGGGATATTTTTCTTTATAATTATTTTTTGTTCTTCTATGTAAGGTTTAACTACACTAAGATTATTCAATATATAAAAATGTGCTTCAAGAACTACATCCTGACTCATTGACTTAACATTTAAACCTTCAGTACTTATACCATCAAATAAACTGGACCACAAAACCTGATTTCTCTGACTAGATTAACAAGTAAGTGAACTATAATGTCAAAAAATGGTGGAGGAAAATACATCTCCAATTGAAACAATATTATTTCAACCTCTTCTTCTAATTCATCTAATTTTTTGAAATCAAGAACTTTATTACATATATCATTGAAGAATAAGTACAATCTAGTTATAGTTAATTTTACATTTTTTGGAAGGATGCCACAGATATCCATTAGTAGAAGTTGTTGCATTAAGACATGGAAATCATGAGATTTTAAGTCAATTAACTTGAGATCTTTCATTGATACAAGTTTCTTGATGTTTGAAGAGTAACCTTTGAAGGTAGAGAAAACATAAGAAAGGGGGGGTTTGAATTGAGTTTATAGAAAACCTTCCCCTTTAGAAAAATATTTGATTTAACCATGAGTAGCTACTAAACAATCTTCTGATGAAAGTATGTATTCCATAATGTCTCTGAGTCTTCAGAATCTTGACTTTGTCTTTAGAATAATGAGTAGCTACTCTTCTGATGAGAAAATCTTGACTTTTGATCTTGGAGTAGAATCTTTCTTATCATATGTTTAGAGTCTTGACTTCGTCTTTAGAAACCAAGCAGCAGGACTTCTAATGACCGAATCTTGACTAGTGATCTTCTGCCTCTTAATCATGTTTCTTTTATGCACTTGATTTTTGATCTTGTAGCAGCAGCTTATCATAAACTCTTTCTTATTGGTAACACATTGAGATTCTTTTCTTGTCGAACATTTAGCATTCTATAGAACTACTGATGTTTCATTTAGAAACATAACTCTATGGTTCTTCTTCTGAGAGGAAATGTGATCCTGATGATATATTGATTAAGACTATCCAGAATTCTTATCACGTATCTGCACACTCGATGAAACCATTAAAACTAATATTATATTTCATAAAACATATGCTTGTTATCATCAAAACTCTAAGATTTAAACATAGATCTAAATCTTGTTCTTATAACCGTGGGTAACTCGGATACCTCACAAACACTCACAAAAACTTTTATTTTCCTTTAGATAGAGTGTGACATGCCGTAGGAAAATAAGATCTTTTTTCTCTATCTTCTAGAGCTAACCGTTGTCTAATACCCATCACCACCATATCTAAATGGGAATTCTTACTATCTTTAGTCTTTCCTAGAATGTTCATAAGTGCTCTTATGAAACTATCACACGCATTTTTCTCCACATGAATCACATTAAGATAATGTCTTACATCAAGACTAGGCCAGTATGAGAGCTCAAAGAAATATTTAGGAGCACGTTTGTTCTCCTGCTCTCCGTTAAAAGCCTTCTACAAGGGTGATTGGATTTTAGAAATTTCGGATACCCAAGGTAAACAGTCTTTTTTCCAAACTCATGTTGGTGAAAACACGTATCAGATTCACATATCAGACACACTTTATGTCTTTTAACATTGTATCTAGCCAAATTTCCATATACAGGAAAGTCATTGATTGTGCAAAATAACATTGCACGCATATTAAACTTTTTACCAGAATATGCATCATCAATGTCAACCCCTTTATCATATAAAAGATTTAAATCTTCAACTAATGGACTTAGATAAACATCTATGTCATTTCTCGGTTGTCTTGGTCCATAAATCATCATAATTAACACTATATACTTGCGCTTCATGCTCAACTAAGGAGATAGGCTGTAAATCGTGAGATGAACAAGCCACGAAGAATGGTTAGTACTCATATTATCAAAGGAGTTCATTCTATCTGTGGAAATACCAAGCCTAAGATTTCTAGGCTCAAGGCCAAAATCCAGAAAGAATGAATCAATTTTCTTCCATTGTAAAGAATCAACTACATGGCGAATGTTTCTATCACATTTTCTTTCGTCTGCATGCCATCTTATATTTTTTGCGTCATTTACATGAGAAAAAAGTCTATTGAACCTTGAAACTATTGGCAAGTACCATACCACTTTAACATGAGGACGATTCTTACTAACATTGTCATTGTCATCACTATTGTTGTTCTTCAACTTGTAGTGCGACTCACCATATTCTGGATATTGATCTAAATTTTCATACTCTTTCTTGTATAATATGCAATCGTTAGGGAACACATGTATTTTGACATATTCCAAATCTATTGGACCCAATATCTTTTTGACCTCATAACAACAATGCGACAAATTGTTATCTTCTGGTAGAATTTGTTTCAACAAATCAAGTAATTATGTGAAAAATTTATCCGACCTTCCACTTTTTTCCTTCAGATTAGACAATTTTAACAACACAGACAATCGTGTAAAACTGATGCACCCCTTATATAAAGACGCATCTTGGCACTGCATAAATTATCATAAATATGGGCTTTCATATAAGATGATTTTCCCATATCACGAATCATATCTTTTAGTCGATCACCCGTATCTTCATCATCTTTATCCATTTGTGACGTCTCATTTCGATAATTATCCACTTCTCCATGCCACATCCATGTGGCACAATTTTGACATTTTTTTATAGTTTGTTGATATTCCTGCAAACAACACAAAGACAATAAAAGACACTGTTATTGTTGGGAACATTTTTTTGGCGAATTCAAGAACTCCTTTCTCATACACTGGACCTAATCTATCAGCTTTCATCCAACTACGGTCCATAACGAATTCTGAAATTTATATCAAAAGACTAATGTGAATAACATACTAATACTACACACACAATATTCTAATATGATTATCTCCATATGCATATCCAACACCAAAACCTAAAGCATATTCACAAAATCTGTATAAAACATGAACAATACACATGAAAATTTCAAAGAACATAAACAAAAGTCATTGATTCATGAAATATCACGTAAACAATAATTTAGACGTTTAAAAAAAGAAACAAGTAAACCTAGCGAAGAACCTTAACATTCAGAAGAGTCAGAGATGGAGAATGATATTGTACCATAAATGATATTTGAAGAGGATGGTGAAGATGACTAAGATTTCGCTTCCATAAATGAATGAAGATGGTGAAGATTTTTCTATCGATGTCGTCTCATTTGCTAACGTACCAAAAATGATATTCGAAGAGGATGGTGAAGATTGTGAAGATTTCGCTTCCAGAAATGATATCATTTTCCAAAAATGATATTCATTTCCAGAAATGATATTCGTTGTCGTCTCGTTCGCTAGGACACCCTTTGTGTTATGAAAGGAATAAAATACTTGTTATATTTTAATTTTGTGGGAAATAATTTAACAACGGTTGCATGATTTAGTCGTAGTGAAATATGGAATATATAACTAGTAGTCGTTGTACTTTCAATTTTTAAATAAAAATAAATGTTAAGGGACGCGCGCTTATTTTTACATGAAAAAATAGAAAAATGGTGATGTTGGGATTCTAAGCTTGTTACCTAGATTATATGACAACAGTTCTTTAAAGGAACCATGATTAAAAGTTTCTTAATAAAATTATTTAAAAAAACATGCGCGTAAAAAATTAGATATGACTAAGGTAGATAAATTATCGTGGCAATATTGTGTTACCGAAGATATCTTTCGTAGGAGTGACACATGCTATCATTATATTAAAGATGTATTTCTAACAATGATGTGAAATTGAGGTATGTGAAGACGCATGATCAAGCAACTGATATTTTCACGAAGTCTTTCAAGCACGAAGATTTTGTCAAGTTAAGATATTTATGTGGAGTAGAAAAATCAAGTTTAATGGGGTGTTAAATATTAAATATAATTTGGGTTTATTAGTTTTTGGGCCTTTGGAATTTTAAGCCCAAATATGTGTTGTAGTAGGTCCAACTTCTAGAAGCCTATTCTATAAAGATCATGAAACTCTCTAGAAGATAGGGATAAGTTTGAATTTTTCTAGAATATGATTTATAGCCATTTGATTAAACTTATGATGACAAAATCTGAATCGTTAATTTAAGAATGTCAATAGTATAAATAGAGGTGTTGTACTTGAGTTTATATCTAAGCTAAACATTATAAACACACAGTAATATAAGTAGCCTTCCCTCTTCCAAAAATTTCTTATCTTCCTCTAAATACTTAAACACTTTCTCCTCGATCCTATCCAAAACTTCATTCCAATATATTGTATCTTTGATATGATTTTTTTTTAAAATATTAAGATGGACTAATATTTTTATTATTGGGCCAAAAAAACACAGTAACCCGTTAATATGTATAAACCCTAGCTTTATATTCAACGTGCCTCCCTTCAACCATTTTTCAACAGTCGTAGGTATCTTTCACTTGTAATACCAACTAAACTTGAATCAATGGAGACAAAAGCTATCATGATTTTTAATTTAAACACATGTATGCTTTTGCACAACTAAACTTGTAATTCTACTCATATGTAATATTCTAATTTCTACTAAATCTTGTTTTAAATTATGCAGCTTCATTCTAACAGTTGAAGAAGTTTATTCATTCAGTAGCATCTATACCATGCGATCTAATTGGTTTTTTGTCAGAAATTTTTTTGTTCCGTTTCATCGACTGTGATTTCCTTGATTAAATGAGGTGAGATTCATCTTATCTAATTATTTTTGTTGTCATTGGGATTTTGAAGTTTCTGTTATGGTGTTTTGTTGAGGTCCAGTGTATGTCATTAGAAATTTTATGTAGTTTGCAAATTTGTATTTGCTTGATTCTTGCACTTATGCTTGATATGATCCTTTTAAGTCGCTGAATTCTTGCATTTACGTTAGATCTGATGATATTAATTAAAGTGGTTAATTATAAGTTAAGTTTGTATATTTTTTCACGCCCTAGTTAAATCTAATTTCTAGATGCATATATCTTCATTTTTTTATTTTCTTTTGGGATGTGCATTCAAGGGATCTAACTCAATATATATTCTTTTGTTTTATAATTGTTTTATCGAATGAAAAACATATTTTAGGTTATCGTCAACTGAATATTTTAACTTGTGATTCAGGTGGACTATGCTTGTGAAAGCATTTTATGTCATGTGGGACGGTTATCCCACAAATGAACTTGGTCTACGCAAAGGATTTGGATATGTTGAGTTTGACAACATTGATGTTGTTCCCAAGGCACTGTTGCTTAACGAGTCCGAGCAAACAATCTGTATAAATGGCCTTAGTCTCCCTCCGTTAGTTATATACTTAAAATTTGGTTGCACTTCAGGTGTGTACTAAGCGGACAAACATTCCTGGAATGAGTCATTATCATGGAAGAAACACTCATGTTATAAGGTCCAGGTGGCCATATCCAGCGTACCGTAGACCTGATTATCGATTTGTACTACTTCTTTAGATTTGATTCCCCATCTGCTTAATTTCAATCTATGTGATATTCCAATCTCTATTAAATCTTGTTTTAAATTATTCTAATAATTGAAGATGCAATTTGTTCATTCAGCGATATCTCTACCATGCGTTTTGATGGTCTTTTGTTAGAGATGTTTTTTTTCTTTTCAACTATTGTGATCTTCTTGATTAAATTAATGAGGTGATAACTATATAAGAGGTGATGACCATCTATCTTGTACTATTTACATTGATAATAAAATAAGATTATCCTCCATGTCACACTATATTACATTGCTAATAAATTCATTTGTAAACAGTTACAAAATGTGTTAAACCTTCAAGTCACACTTTCACATTGTTAATGACCTCACTTCAACTTCTACTTTGCGTCTATTTCTGCAACTCATGCGTTCTTAGTACATTTTCGATAACTTACTCATTCAGCATGTATCATTTTCCACACTTTGAAGAACCGTGATCTATTTGAAACACTGTCTTCTTTCATCCTTTTGGATATTGAGTGCACCTTAAATCCAAAGAATATCTTCTAAACGTTTTTTCTTTCTATATGGTTTTAAGAGTGCTTCATCTCGAGGCCATATCATTTATCTTGCATTCACTATATCAACACATTAATAAAACAACTCATGTGTAACTATCTCATGCATTGTATTCATTCCCTTATTAAGGGTGGAAGATTTGGTTTCTTCGAATATTTAGTAGCTAAAAATATTAAGAAGTTCCAAGATAAGTTTGATGGTGTGAGGTTTAAGAGTTTTAAACTAAGAAGTCACTTGGTGTTGTTTGCTAGTAAGGACCACGATATTCATAGGCTGGGTAAAATCACTCATCCCAATACTATAATTTTGATCTATAATAGCACAAATTTAATGCACTTTTTTGTGAAGCGATATTAAAACTTTAACAAATTTTTACAAAGACACTAATGATAGCACTTTTTGGTCGGGGGCTATTATAAGGGGATGGCAATATTAACACTTTTGATTAAACATTATAGGCATGAATTTAAAAAAAGAATTTAACAATGAACGACCAATTTTTTTATAAGTAATTTTTAATTGAATTAGTTGTCTTTCTGCAATCACATGTTCTCCTTCCCGTCAACCTAGAACCCTTCTTCTTTTCCATCTCACAAATCACTCGGAAACCTTGTAGCCATCGAATTCACATTCTTCCTGTGTGTTTCTGATCCCTAAGAATCCTAAATCTCTCATTTTCTATCATTTCTTTCTCAATCCAGCAAGATCCCTAAATATTTCTCCTAATACCACATCCATTTCAACAACTCTTTCTTTCTTGCACATGTAAAGGTGTTTTGGTGTTAGAGAGCTTTGTCTTGTAAACTTTGTTATTTTGGCTAAGGAGAAGTGGTGTCTTATTTTGAGACTCTAGGCTTGGAGAGATATCCTAGTTGCATGTTATAGTGTTGTCTCTTCTTTAAGGGGTGGTAGAAATTTTGGCTTCTAAAACACCACCTCCTGGTAGAAAGGAGTTTCTCTTGTTGACTCTAAAAAGGAAGAACCTTCAGACCAGTTTGTATATAGTTCAGACCAGGAGTTATTTCTTTGGGCGTGAGTAACCAGTGGTTGAGGATTTTCCCTCAGTGGCTTCGTTTCTCATTGGACAAAGATAAGTGATATTTGTATCTTTCGAATGATGGGGTTTTCTTGGTGTCCTTTACCTATCACTTTCTTATGTCTTCTTCTAACCACTAGCCCTCAGAGTGTTTTAAGGTTATCTCCCACATTTGGATTAGTTGGCAGCTTTTCCTTGATAGATTCCATCTAAAGAGAACTTATTCAACATAAAGGTGATTTTAGATCCTGGTTTTGCTTTGTGTTCCTTTTGTTGTGTTTCAGTTGAGACAACATCTCACTTGTTTGTCATTTGTGACATGGTTAGTACAATTTGGTATAAGATTTTCATATGGTTGGTGTGATCGGTGGATCTGGAACTGACTGTTTTAAAGCTGGTTCGCGAAATGTCGCGGTAAGCAAGAGTCGCCACCGTCTTTTATTTTCTCCAATAGGAAAGGACAAAAGCACAGAAAAATTCCTTTAAAGAGATTGCTCTCGGTTCGGGAGGTAGGTTATAGAAAGGGAAGGTGTTAGCACCCTTTCTATCCATGGTTATCCATGGGCTCTTAGGTACTTGCTCAATGTGTTTTCAAAATTGTTGTTTGCTTTTCAATTGTGGGTTTCAAAAATATTCTTTGAAAAGTTTCAGTTTAACTCATGCGTCAGAGTGTTTGAAAAGTTTGTTTGAAAGTTTTTTGAAAGTGTGTTGGTGTGAAAAGAGTTTTTGTTTTGTTTGAAATTAGAGCAAGTACCTTTGAGAACCTACCTACCCTAAGGAATTAGTCTGTGTAAATGTCCTTTAAAGTAATGCCATCCCACCATTGAGAGGTAGGTAGCACCACCGTCGGAGGTGTTCGGGTCAATTCGAGTGTTAGGGACGTGGTGGTCACCGGAGCAATGGGAAAACACCTTAGAAGCTACCCTCATGCCAGGTTCCCGGACCATGAGGACTTACTAAGACGTTTTCTACTCGACGACCACCTTTCGAAAGGCAACAGTGAGGCGTACCCTAGGGGTGGTGTGTGCGAATTGTGTGTCATTTTCAGTTCATTATTTGTCTTGTCATGCATTGGTGATCTAACGATTCAATTTTATTTTTCGGGCATTCATTCTTTCATGCATATTTATTAACAGTTATATTTGCGAGAAAATAAATCTAACTATTACAACGGGCGCGGGTCCACATCGCCAAAAAAACCGAACCCGATTTGACTGAAAATAAATAAAGCGAATAAATAAAAGTCCGAGAGTTTTCAATTACATGGCTTTGGGGCATATACAGAGGTATTTAAACAATATAAAATAAATGCGCGAAATAAAGACTAAACAAAATTAGGGCATTGGACCCTTTTACAAATAATCAAGGAATTTAAAATTAAAATTAAATGAAAAAATAGTATTTTTGTGTTTTTTAGATTTAAAAGAAAAAGGAGAAAAGTTAATTAAAATTAAAATCCTAGTTCTAATGTTTTTTAAGTTTATTATGAAAAAGATTTAATTTCTAACCTAATTAAATTCTAAATCAATTTATATACAATTTTTGATTTATAGAAAATAAATAATAAATAATAATATTGTGAGAAAAAAAGGAAAGAATTAAAAATTACTAATTAACCTAATTCTACATTTTTTGGATTTTTATTATGAAAAAGAATTAAAATTAACATTAAAACCTAATTAAACTAAATGAATTATATTTTAATTTATAAAAAAAAAGAATCAAAATTAATTATATTTTTTTGTCTTTTCTGTATTTTTAGTGTTTTTTATATTTTTGTAAGAATTAATTAAATAAAACAATAAAACATGACAATTGAAATAATAAATAAAAAGATAAAAAATAAATAATAAAAAAAAATAATCAAAGTATGCAAACCAGGGTGAGGGAACCCCAATTTGGAGGGTGTTAATTAGAAAGGCCTGGCCCATTTTTGTGAGAATTTGTTGACTTTCTGGATCCAGTGTGATGCTTTGACTGGCCTCCACCATATGCCCTTGTTCTGGACCCTTTGATAAGTTTCCTGGGACACGTGGATAGGCTGATGCTGAAGTGTATGGTGAGCATCAATATGAGCGTTGCATGGAACCTGGAAAGGAAAAATGATATTGAATTTTTGCAGGACCTGGGACTTGAACCCAGGTCCTTGAGATTACATGCGCGTGTCTTGGCCAGCTGTGCTATGTTGATTTCATTTAACATATAATAGTCACTAAAATATATAAAAAGAAAATGGTTAGTGCTTATTTAAAACGCGCGCGAATTCAAGCTCAGCCAATCCACTGGTGCCACGCCATCGTCCCTTCCAATTTCCTGAAACATAAACAAAGAAGGCAACGGTTTTGAAATGTTGCTTTAGGGGGTTTTCAAGAAAATAGCGAATAGAACCCTGGGCATCATAAATTGTTCGCGAGTATGCCAATCCCTTCGTCTTGGTGTGCTGGATGCAATGGTAATACTGCTGAGTCCTAATTTTTCTTGTTTTAGGAATCCCTAATTTTGAATCTCACGAACCCTAATACTCAGCCATGGCATCTTTGTGTACAATGTGCAAAACTTCAATCAAGCATAAGGGTTAGTTTCAGAAGCTCAAAACAAACATGATGCAATGCATAGAATGTTGTAAAAGTGCTTAAAGAATGCTATACGATTGTGAATTTTTTGCAATGCAGTCTGAGTCCTAGGCGTCAATTCCTGAAGCTTTTGTGCTTGAGATTGATTGGAACGTGTTCAGAGTTGCTTAAGGATGCTAATGGTATAAAAATTTTGGCTTGCAAAGATCCCTAGCTATGAAATCAGTTTTCCCTTTTATGTCCAAATTTTCAAATTGCCAATGGCCTTTGAACGAGTTTTGTGCTATGTTCTTGGTAGGGTTTGACTCAATGATCCTTATGGAATTGAATAGGCTTGTTAACTCTCCTTAATCCATGCTTGAGAAAGAATTGGCATTAGGGTTTGTCCATTAACCATTTTTTCCTAACTTCTAGCCAAAACCTAGACTTAGTATGAAAATGAACCTTGGCCTGATTTTTGAGTTGGTTCATGATGCATAGAACTTGTCCAAATTCATTTGACACCATTTCATTGATTTTTAAATTTTATTTGAATTTTCAATGAATTAAAATGAATTAAATCATCAAAAATTAAATAAAATAAAAAAGTCAACATTTGGTCTTGAAATCAACCATGGGCCACGTGTGTGGCATGACAAGGATGGACAAAGTGAGAAAAATGGGGCCCTTTTGTCAAAATTGGATTTTCAATGATAGTTGACTTTTGCCATTTCACAA